TTTTCTCAACTCTTAACGTATATATTTATACTAATCAAAAACATGACAAATATATAATAGTATTAATTATAATATAAATTGTTACAAATATTAGTATTATTAAAAATATATTAGTGTTCTTACCTTTAAATATCTTCTAAAGACCCTGACAGCAGTCTCATAAACATTATGTTTCTTTAAGAAATTAATATATAATGGCCATATACGATGATGCTGAGTGATGGGAAGTGCTCTAAGAGAACGATCAAATACCTGACGTGTTATATAACATTGTTCAGTCATTAGTGTACAATAGTCCATCCATATGCGTGGCATTTTATGCATAAATACCAAAGCACGTTCAAATGCATTATTAACATCTTCATATAACGGATCTGTTATACATCGATCTTTTAACTGGCTCATACGTTGTCGAAGATAATTATACCATAACTTATAACTGTAATAAATGATAAATATAATAAGTAATATTTAAAATAATAGATAATGTTAAGTAAATGCACAAGCAGTCACATTAAAAAAAAAAACGTGAAAAAAATGATTTTACCTGCCTAGAAGTTCTTTCAACGCTCGTTCATATACTACATTTAAATTCTTACTCTTTGAATTTTTTAGGTGATCGATATAGCGTTGCCAATGTTTAACTGAAAATGGATTTTGTAAAATTTCTTCCTCGTATGGTAAATCCTCCTCATTCTGTTTAACAAAATTTTTAAGGTTACATACATACTAACAGACATAATATTATGTGATTATAAATATAAAACATTTTTATAAATTATAAATATATTTACAAAGGCATATAAATTTTCTTCGTCGTGTGTTATGTCTCTTGTTATAATTATATATATATATAAAATTATACTATGTGCCTTTTTTGAGGTAGTAAATCGATCCGGAATCGTTTTAAATCCAATTCCATAAGTGGATATGAAAGACATCGCAACAGTACAAAAAGACAAGGAAGAGAAAGAGCGATAATAAACTTACTGATAGCGCTACCGATGTCGAGCCAACTGCCGTACGGCGTGACACAATGCATTAAAGGTAGCGATATGCAATCGCCTAAAAAAAGAATGGCTAAAGAAACAGGCTTCTTGTATTCTGATTCTAGTGAATAGCTCGCGCATCCGACTAGTATCAAGGGAATGCTAAGTTTGAAAAGTATTAAAGATGTCATTAAAAATGGAGAAAAAACAGTAACAAAGTGACGCGTCCAAGATGGATCAAACGAACTGATGCTCGCCATATTACCTGTGCCGAAGAAACACAATAGTATGTACAACATCTATAATAAGATGTTAAGGATATGTATAAATGATAATAGATGTGCCTCATATGAATTAAAAGAATATCGTTAAAAAATTAAAGATAACAGGTAAATTTTAGTTTGTTTTCCTAGAAAGAGTCTAAATAATATACAAGATTCCTTAGTTACAATATTAATTTAATAATCTATATTTTTCTCATTTGTCTAATTAATTAAAAATATCTGATATAAATATCACCAACTCTTCATGGAAATTCTTGTGTAACAATAAAAAAATCTTTTTAAAAGGATACAAAAAATGCTGCTTTGATCAAGTCTTTTGTAATCTTTTGTGTATTTCCTGAGCTCCTTGAAGTGGCTTGTAACCAACAAAGTAAATTGATTGTAAGTATAATGAAGAAGAGTGGCTCATAAGACGCAGACAATAATGTAAGAGGACAGAAAAATCCAAGCATTATGCCCAGCATTCTTCTCTTAGTTTCTGTTGGATAATACCAAATGCACAATGGTGTAGTCAGTAAAATAATCCACAATATCCAGTATCTACCATCGAGAAATTCTGTGTATACGAGGCTTGTAACGATTAAACGTAAAATTTCCATTATTCTCCGACTCTGCGATGTCTCATTGATAATCATTATCGACATCGCTACCAATATGCCAATTATCCTGAAAGAAGAACTTAAGTCAATAAAAAAATCATTAAAAATACAATATTACTAGTGACTAATAACAACAGTGTGCCTCCGATATTTATGAAAAGTTTCTTTTTGTTTCTTTTTGCAAATACAGGCGTCGACGTAATTATTTTAGCAATGGCAAACCATATAGATATTATGGCAAAGCATATGTAGCATGGTAATCTCCAGTTGTTGCAATCTGATACTATATACACAAAGTATATCAAATATATTACATAACAAAAGATCCATTTTTTATAAGTAGAAAATAGTAAAAATCATGATTTGATCTAAAAAAAAGTTTAAGTAAAAAACTTGAAACTTATAGCAAAAAATTACATATCTTTTGTATCGACTTAAAAAAATGCATTTAGAAATCAATTTCTTACCTGCATGTCCGATTAATATTATTATCACTTGCAAATCCGATATTTATAACCACTAGTAGAGAGATTCGCAAACATCGACGCTTTGTTCCAGTTATT